TAACCTAGATGTTTCAGTAGTTTAAAACTTTGGGGCGCGCCATGTACGAAAGTACAATACTGTACCTTAGAAGTGGAAGGATCAGGGATACGTAAGAATTGGATAGAATGATCGTCTTTTTCGTAAAACTCGGCAATAAACTTAAAATAATCGTAGGAGCACAAATGACAACCAACCTCCACCACGGCCATTGTGAGACTGGTCAATTAAATTAAAATCGTACCCAGGCTGCTTCCTTTGAAAAAAATCAAATATGATGGTCGAAAAAAATTCACGTGATGATATCGATACATCATTGGTCACGACTGGATGACGTCAGTCAACATTGCTCATGCGTGATGCGCAGATAACATTTCTTGACAGACGAAGACTGAAAACTACTTAAAATCTATTAAGTTCAATTGTGTCGCTATTATCCATTTCCGCCTGTTATATATGGGGTTCAAAATGCTCAGAATAGGGAGATATAAATGTTTATAACTTTAGGGCGCGTTATGTCCTAAAGTAAAATAATACCAACCTTTGATACAGGACATGGTAAACATGCTATAGAGGATAGCATATTTTTTTCTTCAGCTAAATGTCAAAAGAATTATTTGTGAAACTAAGGAGTACAGTTGGTGAATATGGTAAAATGATTCACAAACCATGAATGTGAATGTTAATTTTTATGACAAATGTATTCTTTACTCACAGGTCCAGGAGACAACAGCTCAGAATTTAGCATCTGCACAAACTCTTGGCCCAAGAGAAAAGCGTTCCCATGTCATTTGGGCTGATACTGTCACACTTTTATTTGAAGGCATTGCAAGAACTGTTGAAGTTCGACAACCTATCATTGAAACATATTATGGTAGGTGTATCGTTATGTTTGCTTAAAGATTTATGTCAAAACTTTTATATTTATTTAAAATCATAATTCTATTTGGGGTCATAAGAGAGTATTATAACGTTACTTCTCTGCCATGGAAATATGTACAGTTAGCAACAAAATGTTCTGCACCTCTTGGTCTGATGGCCTCTGCAACAATCACTGACTGAGGCCATGTTAATTTGGTAAGGTTGGTATTTCTGGTTGTGTGATGCATTGTATAACCAGTCCGATGTATTTTTTATATCACATATAGTTAATACAGAGAAATTAAAAGGAATCACCCGCATAAATGAGTGTTATTCAGAACTCTTGGTCCGGTGTGTCATATTGTAGAACACCATAAAGGCTGCAGAATATTTTTTGTTGACTGTACAAGAAGTTTTCATTTTATGTCAAGGATGTGTTCCAGAGAAATGTGACTTACAGAGGTTTATGCATTCTTGAAAGCTCAGAATGTGTTCCTAGAGAGAGAGCTTCCAGCAGATCAGCTTACAACAGGATCATAATAACATACAGTACTGTACTGTATTGTATATAATATGGAGATACATTCTTAACAGCATAATTTGTTACCTTTCAGTGATACATTATGGCTTGATTTGACTACTTGTACAGTAAGGTAACTGACTAATAAATAAACCATGGTATATGAAGGTGCATAAAACACTACCATTATTATTTACTAAGTACTGAAGAAAGATGTTGTGGTAAACCTGATGACATGGTGAGGAATGGTGCCAGCAGTCAGCTGTTTGTGCTATACTGTATAAACACAACTGCCTGGAATTTAATAAAAATAATAAATCATTTGTGGTTGAGTGTGGGATTTTTTTTCTCTGGAAAATTTATTATTTTATAATAATGTTTTATTAACCTGGCACCAAATGAACCTAAATAATATGGGAGTTATGGTGAAATTGCATACTGTCATTATAAAGGGTTGGGGGGCTGCTGAGCGTGGGAGGTGAGTTGCTCCTCTCAGTCCAGGCAGCACGTCCTACCTCCTCCTCCATCACCCACCATCTCCTCTCCACGGCTACACACCCAGATGTAGTTTTGTATTCTTTTTTTACTCCATTTCTTTACATGCAAACCCTCCATTATATAAGAACCAAATAAAGTTTTTCTTAATTTTTTGGTTTTGCAACACTTGTGTGATTTAATTGTCCAGTGTGAGGTGTACAGTAGTCCAGCGAGTCAGGGTGTGTCGCCAAACCTCCCGCTGCTCTCAGATACACTCCATCTCCCACACAGAATACAGTACAGTATACCTTTACAGTAGGATCTCAAGTTTAGCGAGTTTTAGATTCGTGATTCGTGTGTTTCGCGTCACTTTTAAAATTTCCAGCCTCTCAAGAATAGTGATTTTAATTACTGGTTTTGCTAGTCAATGGAGAGTGAGCAGCGTACATTATCGTGGTCCTTTGTTATCAGCTGTTCCATCGTGTTTGTTGTTTACGTCAGTTAGTTTGAATGAGCGAGAGCGAGTGGTGTAGTGACCTTGGATTATATGACCCATTGTCTTATGTTTCACGAGATTCTTGTTTAACTATTAGCCATTCTTGTGTATTGACGATGAGTGAGGTGCGTAATGTAAATTTCGGGAGCTGTTCTGGTGGTAATGATGGCCGTAGAGAAGATAAACTAGGAAAGCCCCAAGCCAAGCGTAACTACCGTAAGGGGGTCAAGAAGAGGAAATACACCCTTGAAATGAAACGAGAGATGCTTGAGACGATCAAAAGTGGTGCTTGTACCTGTGAAATCATGTATAGGCTCAACTGCCTTGAATCTACCATATATTCCCTTAAGAAGAACAGGGAAGCCTTAACTGTTTCCGTGAGTATATTCTCAAAATTTTCTAGTAACAGGACGTTCTCTGATACTTCACAACAAAACCTACTGCCTGTTATCACAGACCAGTACCTTCACAAGTGGGTGGAAAGAAGAAACCGTGAGCAGTGCGACCTGTCTGGGCCACAGATAAGGCCTCATAATGACATCTACTTTTGGTAAATTTCTTTCACCTGCCGTGATAAACCCTGGAAGTAGTTGTCCAACCTTCTCGGCTGATTGGCTCAGTAAATAAATATTATTTTATGATTAATTGTGCTTTACTGTGCAACACAACACAGTAATGCTATATTGAATATATAAATATTACTAAGCACATTAACTAATTCAATGGATATTAGCTGCCCATACATCAAATTTCATAGTACAGTGATATCCCCGTTAGCTGGAACAATTGGTGAAGAGCACTTCCGGGAATGAGAGATTTCCAGGTAACGAGACGACTCTCTCATCCCCGGAATTTTCCGGGTAACGGAAAAATGTTCTCGGAAGTTCCAGAAATTGCCCATTACATCATCTCTTGAACCCAGAAAAATATCCCTCATCCCCGGAATTTTCTGGGTAATGGAAAAATTATCTCGAAATTTTCCAAGAAAATTTCAATTCCGGCTATCAGAGACTTCCGGGTTTGAGGGATTCTGGCTAACGGAGATATTACTGTATAAACGTTCCACACAATATTGTTATTATTTTGGTTTTGGTCATCTGGGGAACCTTAAGGTTCTAACTATGGGATTAAGTACTGTACTTTAAACAATAAGACATGTCATCTCTGCAGGATTTCTGTCACAAAACATTTTTCGATTGTATAAGAAAATACAGTAAAGCCTCCGATAACATCGGTTCGACCACCAACTTTTCATATTTAAAACCCTAGTAATTTAGGACCCAATTCAATTTACGTCCTTATTTCATTCGTATTTACTACCAAAATATAATAAAAGTAAAATAAAATTACATTTTCTTATAAATAATAATTAAATCCAGATATGTATTATAAAAAAAATAATAATTACTGTAAAAAAAATGAAGAGCGCGCCTTGCACAAAGAAGCTGCTGGCTAATGAATGGTAAACAACAGTCGGAGCTTGGCGGGCCTTTTGTTTTCACGCCTCTGGAACAGGAGAAAAACTTTCTCAGGTTTCTTACAGCATTTTTGCATCCCTATTCAACATGAGCAAGAGAGCAAGTGATGGTAGTGTTGGTTCAAAAGATAATAGAAAGTGTATAAGCTTAGCTGAGAAACAAGATGTGTTAAAACGATATGAAAAAGGTGAGAGGTCTGTGGATATTATATGGAGCAAGCAATGAACATGTTTTCTGAAGTGGAACCATTAACAGAACAAAGCATTAAAATCTAAATAAATACAAATGACCTCTACATAAAGATGTATAATGAGAAAAGAAAGCAGCTGTGCAAGGTTCTTTCAAGAGCTTTATTATTCGAAGGCCTAAACCATCAACTTCAGCTACACCATCAAATTCAGCATCATAAGCAGCTTCAACATCAACTTCAGGTTCAGTAACAGTTTCAGCAACAGCTTTATGGAAAGCTACAGCACTAGCCAGAGTTGAACCTGATGACTTCGTCATCTGAGTAAAAACTCGCACAATATTCATTGGTGAATAGAATTTTTGTTTTACATTTGTAAATATTATTTAAAACATATATGAACAGTAAATAAGTGTTGCTTTCATATTCATATGTTGAGAAATGACTATATGTTTTCACATGTAATTGTACGCACTTACTGTTCATACGTTGGCGTTCCCAATCGTCTCGCCTTATTTCTTTACCATTAGTGGTTAGCTACTTCTAGCGTTCCATTTATTAACATTAAATAACATTACTTAAAACATACATACAGGTATTCATTTTTTTAAATTAAGTTCACTACAGCTACAACCAGGGTCTTATTCTCTTCAGTTTCTTATGTACAACCATCGTCACTCACGAAAACAATGCCATCTTGTCTCCTCGTGTGTGTTTCAATATTCGATGTATTATTAATGAATTGCATTGTTCATTTCGCATAATATAAAGATTAATTCAATCAAATACATATTCAGTAATAAACAATAATGAATCTTTTGTACATACAGTATTCATAAAAGGATAAATGACGCGGAATCCTTAAATGCACACATTCGTATATGTTGGCGTTCCGAATCCATCTCTTTTTTTTTTTTTTGCCATTAGTGGTTAGCTACTTCTATTGTTCCATTTATTAACATTAAATAACATTACTTAAAACATTTATATTAATTTTTTTACATTAATTTTACTACAGCTACAACCAGGGTCTTATTTTCTTAATTTTCTCGTGTAGAACTATCGTCCCGGACTCCTGGCTGTAAACACAAACGAAAATAATGGCGTCCCATCTCCTCTTGTGTGACCATATTATTATTCATTTATATTGTATAAGGTGCATTCAGAAACATTATTTAAAGAATATAGTTTGCAATTTTCAGTAATTGTGTTGTTTTGGGGGGAAAAGAGGGTAAAAAGCCACACAAAAGATATGAAAAGGTCACACTGGGGAATGCATCTCATTATTATTGCTTTATTTTAATGGTAATTAATGAAACTTTTACTCATTAATTAATATAAATGATGATATATCCCAGTGGTTCATTAGTGAATCATCAAAACAATAACTGCACTATGTCATCATGTTTATCTAGCATCAGGATTCTCAAAACAAAATCCAGACAATGTCATTACTTCTAAATTGACTCGTATCTCCATCCCTGCATCACCTGCAGGGTAAGTGGGGACGTCATTGCAAATGGCGGTCCTGTTTCTAGAGAAATAAACTTATCTCGACTATTATAGCAGGATTTTTAAACTTTTATTACAAATTATATATACCATCACTCTACGAACGTGGCAGAGTGTATTTCTTGTGTTTACCCTGAACCTTCAACTCGTCCATTATATAAGTAATGTGTGCAAAATCAAGCTATACATTAGTACAAAATTCAGTATATTTTACTTTCCATAGGACCTGGCCACCTGTCACTTGTAATAGAGATGTTGCAGCGTGAGTGTGATCGCCAGGCTGGTCGCATTGTAGGAGAGATGAGAAAACATAGAAGACTCGAGGCCATTGTGTCTGCTGTTCGTAATTCACTGAGGTAACTACAATAACTTATAATTTTCATTGTTTGCACCAACAGCATATAACCTATAACATCATGCTCCTGTATGTTTGTTTCAGTTGTCCTTTAAATCACTGTCATGTTTTCCAAACAATTTTCAGGTGTAGTGGAGGTAAAGAGCCAAGAGCAGATCAACCAGACCCACGTGATCTAGACACTTTGTTAGGGGAACTGACTCTCATAAATGCTCGAGCTGAGTTGTACCTCAGGTTCATCCGTAGACGAGTGTCGGTAAGTATTTGTGTTTATCTGGTTAATTTTTTTAGTGCTTATCTTGTTCACTCTTAATGTAAAATTTATTTCACAAGGTTTTCATACCTTGAGTTTGGTTCCTGGGAGACTTGTATAAACTGTAGACTGTACAATTTTATACATCTGTTGGCATGGTTACAACACAGTCAAATCCCCAGCTGTAACATCTGGCACTGCAGTAGAACATCTCTCAATAGCTTGTCTTTACTTTGTAAAATGGTTTATTACATTGATTTTACTGTATTCCTTTAAAGCTCGCGGTTTTAAAGGTTGCGTCCCTCGGAACTTACAGATTGCCATCAAAAAAAAAATATCTGAGTCCCAAAGAACACTACTTATCTTTTACTGCCTCTTGACCAAGGAATAATTGCTGTGTTCAAGTCATATTACCTCAGTCGCAGTTTTTCCAAGATCCACGAGACACTGGAAGAATATAGCCAGGCGGGGGTGAAGGAGAAGTGGAAAAATTACACCATTGCTGACTGCATAACAAATTTTAAACTGAGCCATGATGAAATCACTAGCAAGTGTGTGAATTCCTGTTGGGAGGCCCTATGGCCTGAAGCAACGAATGATTTCACTGGCTTCCCCTCAGCAAAGCCCCTGATCTCAAGCATGGTGTAAGTCGGGAGGGATTTGGTGTCATGCAACCAGAATAAATCCGAGAAGAGCTGCTTGGAAACACTGGAGAAGAGTTAACAAATTAATAACTGGCTTCTTTACTAAAAGAAGATGAGCAAGACGACCAGGAAATAGATCATGAGCAAGACGACCAGGAAATAGATCTTGGTCCAGTTGATTTAAAGGAAAACATCCGGACATTAGAGAAAATTATTATACTTTTTTTTTCCATTCTAAAAGCAAGGAAAAGAAGCACTTCTGGAATTAGACTCATCTCTAGACCAAGCACTAGATAAACAGGGGTGTGGACCAAGTACTAGCACCTGAGGTTGCCGGACTAGAGAGGTACAACCTGTACCAGTATTTTTTTTTATTTTTTTTATTTTTTTTTGGGGGGGGGGCACTAACCCACCCAGGCATGGGTCACTTACACACATCAGGGTCTAAGGAGCAAAAATATAAAAATAATTATATTAATAACAACAACAATAATAATATTTAATAATAATTGATAAAAGTATAATTAAACATAAAAATGGAATAGTAATAATAACAATAATAATTAATAATAACAATTGAAAATAATATTAAAAAAACATAAATACAAAATGAAAAGAAGATGATCAAGAGTGAGAAACAATATATGTATGATGTGTTGTGTTGTAAGAGAAACAATTGAGACCCTGCAGTTGTGTGTAAATGAGGCAGAAAGTTAGATCATCAACCTGGGACTTGGTCACATATGGCAGCAGAGTCTACCATTAGACAACACATTATGCTTCCAATATCTTCCCATTACCTACCTGTTTGATAGCTGCCTACTATCTACCATTTTCTGCTTGCCTTTGTGTTTAGGATGGCCAGTAATGTATATATTTACTGAGCTTAATACTTATTTCCTATAAATAATTCATTTAGAATATTTTATTTGCATTATTTTTCATAAAAAGTGCTTGGCAACACACACGCAGTCTGTCGCTAGTCTGCCTGGCTGTCTTTGTGTTTGGTAGAACAAGTAATGCACATAAATAATTATCGGAATAATAATACCACATATAAATACATTTATAACATAATCATAGCATTGTTTTACAGTAATACTAAACTGCAATACAACTACTGTACACTACTTTTAGCAATATTACATTGATACAACATGATAAAATGGACAAACAATGAAAATGAAACAAACAAAAGTAGATAATTATGTTCAGGAAGCTTCCCTGTGGCCGAGGTGTGGTGTGACAGGCAAATAGTCACACTGGAACCTGATAACCTGCACTGGGCATTTAAACAGTGGCCGGAAAAGGCGAGCGTTCCGGAGCGTCAACCGGGGCTCCCTAGTAGGATGTTCCGGAATGTCAACTGGAGCTCCCTAGTAGGCTGTTCCGGAACGTCAACCGGGGCTCCCTTGTAGGATGCTCCGGAACGTCAAATGGGGCTCCCTAGTAGGCTGTTTCGGAACGTCAACCGGGGCTCCCTAGTAGGCTGTTCCGGAACGTCAACCGGGGCTCCCTAGTAGGCTGTTCCGGAACGTCAACCGGGGCTCCCTAGTAGGCTGTTCCGGAACGTCAACCGGGGCTCCCTAGTAGGATGTTCCGGAACGTGAACCGGGGCTTAGGGGTTAAGTAAGCAATAACATATTTTTAATTCTGGTGTTGGGATTGGTAGACTACTGGAGACACTAACTGTAAAATACATTACTGTACAGTTGTTGACTATTGAAAATAATAATAATATGGTTTAATAAAGGTGGCCTCAGTTGTGTGTTTATGCCTCATAATTTAACATCACTAAACTGGACAGGTGATGAGAATATTGTTCTGGGGCTCTCCTTGGGTTGTGACCTTGTCAGCATTACATAAGTCTCCTTGTCATAAATTTGTCTTGGTACAGTAATGGAATTTCCAGAATAATTAAATTATTTATAACTATTTAAACATGATAGACACAAAATATATGTAATATTAATTTGGTCTTTGTTTTCTCACTCTTAAATATTATATTTCAGGCTGATTTTGAGGCGTCCATTGCACACAAGGCAGAACGTGATAAACAGGAGGCAGCTTTTGAAGGGAAACTCTTACGTTCTCAACTGGTGTGCGACATGGCTGTTATAGTTGCTGATTATACTATTTTGGAACAGTTTTATCTTAATGAGTCTTTCAAGAAGGCATTAGCTATGGACACTGTAGAGGAGACTGCTAATACATCTTCCTTAGTTGATGATGCATTCTATATTGTGAAAAAAAGTGTAAGGTATGCTTAGCTATTATATTTTACGATATTAAAACATCATCATTTGTGCTATTTTAAAGTGAATTTATATGAGCAAATATGGATCATAATTATATATAAATAATAATGACATTAATACTGTCATCACCCAGGCGAGCGATAGCATCAAACAGTGTTGATGGTGTATGTGCCATGTTGAATCATGCTGTGACTCTGATTGAGACCCAACTGGCAGAAGGATTTAAACAAACTCTGCGCAAAGGATTCCCTGCCCAGGGGTACTTGGACTTCAACCAGGTGGGTGTTTACTTACTCTATGTTAACACTGTCACGGTCTTGAATCCAACTGGAATATCTGACAAGTTTTGCTACGCTCATAGTCTTGTATTCGCTAGCTGTGTCCACGAGATACAAATAATTGTACAGTATTAAAAAACTATCCGCTATAGATGCATGATCTTGGCGGAGATCCTTGGTAAATGCATCGTTACCTCTGGCAGGATAATTCAGTCTGGTGTGTGTGCTAGAGAGGAGGAGAGTTATGAGTGCACTGACATTTAAATTCTGCTACACTTCCTCCCTATACAGTGGTCCCTGGGATTACTTGAACCGCAATTCGTTCCAGATGGTTGTTCGTTAACCGAAACCATTGTTTCATTGGGATTTGGGGTAATTGGTTCCAGCTCACCAAAAATTACATATAAAGAAAAAAAACATGCTGTAAAGTACACTTACTTTGAAAAGTGTATGTAGAAGGCTCCTGGTTGATGATGATGATGATGATGTGAATTAGAAGTGGGGGTGGAAGAGAAATCACCCCATGCTTGATGCCGTCATTTCACCCATAAAATTTTAAGTTCGCTAGGTGTAATTCAAGATTATTTTCTTTAAATCAACACTGCACTGCACTATATGTTGTCAATATGTTAAATAAATTTCAGAAGGACCAATAATTGTACTGTAAAAACGTAAAAATACTCTGTGTTCAAGAGACCCACAAGCAAGATGTTTCCTCCACTGAACAGAGATACAAACTGAGGCCTAGGTGGGTGAGTGAAGTGGCTGATGGGCGCACCAAAAACTAGTTCCCTGTACTGCAATTATGTTAAATAAGTGTTAAAATTACTAAAAAAATTAATATAAAACTTGGAAAATTATTGATTAGTACAACCTTCTTGATATTTACTCCAATTTTAATGAATGTAAGCCCTAGAGCCGATTTCTGTATTGGCGGACTAATCTTCCAGCTGGTGAGCCAGCCAAAGCATGTTGAAACATATTTGTAAGAATTTCGTTAACCGAAATGAAGATTCTTATGGAAGTTAATTCGTTAACCGAAATTTCGTTAACCGAGGCGTTCGTTAACCGAGGGACCACTATGTATATATACAGTCATGCGCCGGTTAACGTCCTAGATACGTTCTTGGAAACGTGACGTTAACCGAAATGGACGTTGTCCGATCATCTTATAAACTTTTTATTTATACTTATGTGTATGTGGAATACTATATACGTACATATACACTTTTACTGTTAAATCACTACTGTAATGTGATACAGGTGATTAATTTTTATCTCTTGTGCAAAATACATGACGTTTATATTAAAATTATTCACTGTTTTACAGGGATTCCAGCAACGCCGAGCAGATGGGGGAGAGAGAGGGTGGGAGCAAGCGAGGGGGCGTGGGGGGAGGGGAGGTAGTACGTTTGACAGTTGGCACAGGCCCAGGTCTAACGCGTGTATATTTATCAGTTCTTAGGTGACTAAGCTTCTCTCTTATAAAAAGCCAGTGAAATGACCTGGGTGAATATAATTAACATACCTGGGATTCTTGTAACATACTGATTAATTTGAATATAAACATGCTATAATTTGCACTCGACAAAACAATTTTAGTACCGTAATCAAATTAGTACATGTGCACTCCAGCTTTGCACTAAGGTCATTTATTTCTTTTACGTTTCTTTTAGTATGGTGTGTGCATGTAAATGGATGAAAATAAATGAAGAAATCTATGTAAATCTACCCAAAAATACAGTTGAAAAACTTTTTATAAAATGTACTACAGTATTGTACACTAATGTACTACATTTTTTATATCTTGAGCAAAATATATGACGCTTATATTCAAATTAATCTCTGTCTTGCAAGGATTTCAGCAATGCAAATTATATTATCCTAACTTTAGTCTGAGATATTATATAAAATAAACATAAAGAAATCACCAATCTTTTGTCTGGGAACACAAGGAAGGAAGTAGCCAGGAGCGTGTGGGAAGAGGGGGGGGAGGTGAGGTGACAGAATGTCTGGCGTTTGTTTGTTTATTTATTTGAGATAAGATTTGACAGTTGGCGCTGAAGGCCTGTGTGTGTGTTTATTTATCATTACTTAAGAGTGACTAAGCTCTTCTCATAATTTGCCACCCAAACGACCTGGGTGAATATAACTTACATTGGAGGGATTCTTGTAAGATAGTAATTTATTTGAATACCTGTATAAACAAGCTATATTTGCAATAGACATAACAATTTTAGTACCGTAATCATTTAGTACATGTACAATACAGGTTTGCACTTAGGTCCATTGTTACTGTACAATATTGACTAAATTCACTAGATAACGTACGCCTGGCAGCACAATCTATAAGAATACGCGATGCATACGTGACTGTGCCCGCTCTAGGGCCATTTAGGTTCGCTAGGTCCCATTATTTGAATGTTTTTTTTTCAATTTAAATTTTAATTGTTTATTCCTTGATAGAGGAAGCGGGATCCTAGTGCTGTCACTTGGTACCCCTGTACCATAACACCAGAAGCAGCTGGCCAGTGTCACAAGTATATACAGTACAGTACAGTCATCCCTTGGTTATCGCGCCTAATTGGGACCCCGCCGATAACGAAAGTACAGAACCTATGGGATTTATTCTAATTGGTTCCAGGCACCCAAGACCCAACCCCAAGTTTCCCATTTTACGACCATTTAGACCCACTAAATATATATATAATGTTATGGTAAATATCATAAACACACATAGGCATGGCTAGGTTTATTACAAAGTGATGAAAAGGGTACGCTTAATACTGTAGTCCACAAAACATGTAGCTATGCTTTTTTTATTTGGTCCCCCATCATACGAGTCCGTTTTCTCTCGCATGAGGACGCCTGAGTCCTCCGTTTTCTCTCTTAATGTTAGAGTGCACCAGAGACTTTGTTATTCTTAGTAATGACACAGAATTTGAAATTGCCTCAACAATTGCAACTGGGGTTGCAATTGTTGAGGCAACTAGATATGTCTAATTACAGCAAATGTGTTATTGTCATTTGTAGGTGAAAGATTTTACCCTCAATAGATGTAGGTTAACATTTCACCTGTAGGCAAATGCTTAAAAAAGCCTAAATAAGGAAGTATATTCCTTTAACACATAATTATCTGACCAGTATGGGGAGGATCATCGTGTCTCGTCAGGGGGTCGTGGAGTGGTGGTCCAGCAGGCGTCACTAAAGTTTTTTTGGGGGTGGTAGAGGGGGGGCACGGACGTATATGCGATTGGACGTTGTTCGGTCGGACGTTAACCGGCGCATGACTGTATTTCAATTAATTCCATATGTTCTGTTATTTCATTTACGCGTTTCTCATTTTACGTGGCCCTCCACTGGTTCAATTGACCACGTAAATGCAGACTCCACTGTGTGTGTGTGTGTGTGTGTGTATATATATATATATATATATATATATATATATATATATATATATATATATATATATATATATATATATATATATATATATATATATATATATACACACACACACACACACAGTGGTCCCTCGATTAACGAACACAATTGGTTCCACAGAGTTGGATGATAGCCAAAATTTCGTTAACTGAATCTATTATTTCAATCGGGTAATGGGTAATTGGTTCCAACTCTCAGAAAAGGTATATATACAAAGCACTGCACAGTAAGATCTCATATTTCGCTTTTTTGAATTTCGCGACCACTACCTAATGTAACCAAGTCTTATATTTGGCATAAAATATCGTGAATTTCGCGAGATCCAGCAAGTTGAATGCTGGCCACCATCTTGAATTACGTCACGGCCCTCATACCAGTTACAGTCATTTAAATAATAATAATAATAATAATTAACGGTTTATTGAAAGAGTATGGCAGCCGGAAGGCTGAAAATATACAGTAACATAATTGGGGAATGGGTCACTTGATTGACAAATAATATACAAGTAACATAAGTGAACAAAGGTGATGAAAGAGTTGATATCCCTCAATATGACACGTTTCAGGCACAATTTGCCAAGCCTCACATATGGCAACGACGCTAGCAGCGGCTGACCTGACTGTGGTTGCCAGCTCATCAAACTTGTTAGCTAGGGAAGTGACGTTGGATAGCAGTAGAGACGGGAGATCATACCATATCCGTGGAACTTCAGTGTAATGGTACGGTCTGTCAGGGGTGGGTTTCTCTGGTTTCCTAGCGAGGGTTACGGTCCTAATGGGCTTATGTGTATGACGGCCTTGTCTACGGCTGCGCACATGGAATATGTTCAGTGACTCGAGTCGAGCGATAACACTGCCATCAGGATAACCGTTCCCACACTTTAGAAGGTACAGAGAGCGTCGGGAGTAAGTAATTGGTGGCCATCTGTTGATATCTGTTGTTGTGGATGGACGGAAGTGTTTGTCCCCGGTGGACATAAACTCACTGGCGGCACTTTGAGGGCCACTGACACTGGTAGACATCTGTTAATATTTGTCAGTCGTAAAGACCGTGGGTCTTTGTCCCTGGTGCTTGGGGTCGCCGACACAGTTTTCACGATATATGTAAACACCGCGGTGGTCCTTGTCACTGGCACTTTAAAGGTGACCGATAAAGTGCCCACTGTCTGACTTTTCCTTGGGGTGCACTATCGGAGCACTGTATGATAATCACTTATTGCACTGATGACTTGAATGTTTTGCTGAGAAAGTCCCGGTCAGGTTAGGTCGGGTCCAGTCACACTGCTGTGCTTTTGTGCTTTTCCTTAAGTGCACTATAGGAACACTGCTCGATAATCAATGGTTTACTAATCACTAGAGATGTTTTGCTGAATAGATCGATTGTGACAAGGCTGGTAGAGCGTTTGGGATATAGCAGGGGGGGAGGGAGCAGGGCCAAACAGACTCGGCCTGGCTGCTAAAACCGGGAGGCGTAGCCAGAACACGTCTTGTCTCACCGGCGGTCTGTGTTAGTGTCTGGGTGAAGTATAATTTTTTTATTAACTGAAGATATTTGT